GAAGGAATTTTCCTCCAGGGTAGATTGGCAGAGGCCCTGGAGGTTTTACGCCTTCCTCCGCAGCATTGGGCAGGGGTCGCAAGCTGGAGGATTCTCTGCGACTTGAAGTCTTTAAATCACGATCTGGAGACTTCAACAGCTGAGTTAAGTGAAAGTGGGTGGGTCAGCTTTTGTGGCCTGCATCATGCGGGAGGTCAGACTAGATGACCATAATGGTCCCTTCTGACCTTTAAGTCTATGAACTACACGGGGGCAACGTGACACCCACTACGCAGAGCGCTGCCAACTGCACGGAGGAACGGACCAGTCTGGGCCAGGCCAGTTACTGGGATCCTGGGGGCGGGAGCAACAGCAGGCTGGTGGGCACTGCCCAAGAGGAACGGAGGACATGGGACCCTGGACATCCTGCACCTCCCCGGAACCCGCCTGAGGGCCCCACCTTAGCGCCCCTCCCGGGTCCCTGGGTCCCCAGCAGCCCCCCAGCACCCTCCGTCCGCGGCGCCAGCTCCCCTCTCCCGCGCCAGTTAACACCCCAGCAGGCACCTGGCGCTGGCGCCACGCCCGCCCCGAGACCCTGCCCCCACCCCCTCGGGCCCCCGCATCTCTTACCTGGGCGCCGCTCCTGCTCCTCCCACCCGAACTCGCCGCCACCCACCCAGCACCAGCGACGCCGGCGCCCTATGATGAGGTTTCTTACCATAGAGAGACAGGCTGGAGCGTCCGACTTCAGTGCCTGTCTCCCCGCAGTGATCATAGAGGAAGGAGGAGCTGGGGCCAGAGCGTCGTGCTGCCACCTTGTAGCTGAGCCGGCCCCTTGAGCCTCCCTCCACCTGCCTCGGGGGCTACCCGCCGCGCCGCCCCCGCTGGCCCCTCTTCGCCTCGTCTCTCTCCTTTCGAAGAGCAGCGCAGGGGCCCTGTTCGCCCCTGGTGTGACTCCACCGAGCCCAGGGCCGCGTGGCAGCCAGGCGGGGCTGGCCTGGCCCGGCCCGCAGGGCGCAGTAGGTGGGCATCCAGGGTGCCAGGCGAGTGCCTCTGCGCCCGGGCCCAGCCAGGTCCATGCGGGGCTGTGGCCAGTCAGGAAAGTCCCTTCATCTCTGCTCTGTCCCCCCCTTAGTCTAGCCAAAATGCTGCCGTGAAAATCCTCCCCAGCCACATCCAGCTTCTCACCAATCCCAGCCCCTTGCCTCCACTTCACACCCAGACGCCTGCTCCTGGCCTCCTGCCCACATAGTGCCTGCCAAGCAGCCTGCTCCCTCCAGCCATTCACCGCTCCCTTAGCTAGCTGCCGCCGTCCCACCGCTCTCCTCTATGGCTGCCCCGTTCCTGGAACCCCTCCCTGGCCTGGCTTCCACCTTTTCCTTGGTCAAGTAAGTTCCCCCGCAAAACATTTCTTCAATGAGGCCTAATCACCCTCTCCAAAAAATGATAGTGAAACCGGTGGTACTACCCAGACTCCTACTGAACCTAACTGCTTAGTCGCTTGCTGCGCGCCACGTCCCTTCCCCCATCCTCCACTGAAATATTGCCAATGAGATTGTAACTTCCTTGGGGCAGGGACCTTGCCCTCAATTTGACCATAAAGCCCTTAGCACATTTTGGGCTCCAAATAAAGTAACTAATTATTTTTGTTAATAATAAACAGTAGCAAAAATTAAACCTCATTAGGACATAATTGGCAGGATTTGGGAATGGCTTCTTAAAAGGCTGACGCGGCAGTTTGGGGAGTTGCTGGCTGTGAGTTGTACCTGGCTGCCTTTTGTCATGGTTAGGGGGAAGTAGTGAAGATCAGAGTTAGGGAGGAACTTGTCCAGAAATTTTTGCATCCGAAGAAGTGGGCTGTAGCCCACGAAAGCTTATGCTCTAATAAATTTGTTAGTCTCTAAGGTGCCACAAGTACTCCTGTTCTTTTTGCGGATACAGACTAACACGGCTGCTACTCTGAAACGTGTCATTCTTGCCCTTGATTACTCTGTGCAGTAGAGACTTAGGGCGACCAGACACCAAGTGTGAAAAATCGGGACGGGGTGGGGGTAATAGGAGCTTATATAAGAAAAAGACCCAAAAATCGGGACTGTCCCTATAAAATTGGGACATCTGTTCACCCTATAGAGACTCCACATACTCTTTTAAATGTTCTAGTTGTGGGATCCATGCACCTGACAGCTTCTCCAAGGAAAATACTGTAGCTTCTTTAACTTTACTGAAGGAAGAGGAAGTTTCCTTGGTAACCATCTATGATCATACAGAAGAGGTATGCTACTCTTTCTAACAAGCTGGATCATTTCCAAATTTTGTTTACTAACTCTCACCCATGTGTTAAGATTCTGGAAAAACTGTCCGAATTAACTTATACTGGGACATTAAGTTAAAACCCCTGGATAAGATTCAATAGGCATTCTGCAATTTGTAATCAGTCTTTACTTGTCAAATTTTGCCTGAGTAAGCAAAGTAAAAACAGAGGCAGGACCTTTGCATTTGTCCCAACTAGGGTGACCAGATGTCCCGATTTTATAGGGACAGTCCTGATTTTTGAGTCTTTTTCTTATATAGGCTCCTATTACCCCCCACTCCCTGTCCTGATTTTTCACATTTGCTGCCTGGTCACCCTAGTCCCAACACAATACTGCAGTAAAAGAATCTAGAAAAACAGGAATCCGTGGAGGAGGGGGCATGTTGAAGAGAGGAGACAGGGGACTCAGAAGAAATACAGCTAAGCCCTCTGATCCAAGGGTGTATGAAAAGAAGAGGCCAAAACCCAGGGAAGGGATAGCAGTGGTATAGAGAAATTCCCACTTTACCTGTGGTACTTATATGGCCCCATCACCGTAGTATCTGAGCGCCACACATCACAGCCCCTCGGTGAGATAGAGCAGTGCTATTATCCCCATTGTATAGATGGGGCACTGAAGGACACACAGACTAAAGGCCAGATTTTCAAAAACAACTGATACAGACTATCATGGCTACCACTCTGAAACCTGTCACCATGCAAGGCACAGATTTTCAAAGGTATTTAGGCACCTGGTGGGATTTTCAAAAGCACCTAGAAGGTTAGGTGCTTTGTAAACCCCACTAGATGCCTAGCTGCATCTTTGGGTGCCTAAAAATATTTGAAAATCTTCCCTAAGGTCATGCAAGAAGTCCATGGGGTGGGGGGAGAAGGACCCCACGTCTCTCAGGGCTAGCCCCCTATCCACTGGACCAGCCTTTCTGCTGCATGCTGCAAAAAAGAGGACTCAGATGGGAGCAAAACCAAGAAGACAAGTTCTCTCAGATTCCAGCAATTGGTCCCAGGTGTTTGGGAAGGATGTCATGGTTGGCAGTATGAAAAGCAGCACAGAGATCAGGAAGGATGAAGAAAGAAAGATAATGATAGAGTCAGATGAGAGGAGAGCACTTAACCGCCAATGGGTGGCAGGTTCTGCCCCAGGCTGGGTTGTACAGCAATGCCTGCTGTGTGATTTTAACTGAAAATGATTTTGTTTTGTCATTTTTTGTTCCGAGTTTGAGAAAAGGAAGGAATGAGAAAGCATCATATGAATATCAGATATGATTATACATGACATTCTTAGCGTTTCAGCTGTACTCAGACCAATTCCAGAACAGAAATTGCATCCACAGAGTCCATAAAGTCGACAATTATTGTCATGATTTGTATTATTCACTGGGCATCATCTGTGTGCTCAGCACTGTTCAGAATATGCCAGAAAATGTAGTCTCTGAGCCAATGCATATAAGATGTGTAACTCTGGATAAGATAGGTTTCAGAGTAGCAGCCGTGTTAGTCTGTATCCGCAAAAAGAATAGGAGTACTTAGTCTCTAAGGTGCCACAAGTACTCCTGTTATTTTTTTGGGATAAGATAGCTCAGATATTTAAGTATGAAGTATATAGTATCAGAGGGGTAGCCGTGTTAGTCTGTAACCACAAAAACAAAGAGGAGGAGGTGCCACCGGACTCCTAGCTGTTTTTATGAAGTATATAGTTATTGACCACACATGTTATCACATGTTCACTGTGATGTTAATATCTATGAGTGGAGGCACTGATGGCAATAGAAGTTTTACTTGATTAAGGACTAGAAGATTTGACCCTCCAACTTTCTTTCAAGTGCAAGAGCTGCCCAGAGCTCCTGTGCCTGTTTATTTTCCTTTCCTGCCTGCAGTGGCCCTGATATACCTCAGAAGTCTCAATTTTCCCCCCCAACTTTAAAACGTGGAATTTTCTTGGTATTTGGTTTAAAATATTCTCCTGTGAAAACTGCAACTCAATCACTGTAGTGTTGTGTTTAAGACCCTTCTGGAAAGTAACTAGCCTTTAAACAGAAGTGAAAGCAGTGTTACCAACTCTCATGATTTTGTCATGAGTCTCATGATAATTATTAACAAAGAGTCCTGTGGCACCTTATAGACTAACAGACGTATTGGAGCATAAGCTTTCGTGGGTGAATACCCACTTCGTCACCCATGAAAGCCTAAGCTCCAATACGTCTGTTAGTCTATAAGGTGCCACAGGACTCTTTGTTGCTTTTTACAGATCCTGACTAACACGGCTACCCCTCTGATACATAATACATGATAATTATTGTTTCCTTAAAGCCCCAGCTCCTGGAGTCAAGTGGATATGTGATGATTTCAGCCTTCATCCTTAAAGAAAAATGAAGTTTCTAGCCCTTGTGGCTGTGGAGAAAGTTTCAAAATGTGATCCCAGTGCACCTTAAAGGCCCAAAAAGCAGAATGTAAATAAAAAAACACACCAAATCTATTATTTTTACATAATCTCATGATTTTTGGTGAGCCTGATTCATGATTTTTTTTACATTTGGGGTTGGCAATACTATGAAAGTGACTTGAAAGTGTCAGTTTCACTCCTGTTTAAAGTCAGTTTCTAGTCCATTATTTGTAGTGAGATAACACCCCTAAAGCCCCAGGCAGGTGCAGTATAAACTCACGGGGCCTTGCCTAGTAGGTTGTTTCTAAAAGTTAAATGATCTATTCCAAGCTTGATGAACTGCAAAAAAGTGATAGAAGTAATCTAGATTTTTCTACAATTGTTTCAATTGTTGTATTCAAGAGTTAGTAACAAAGTAGGAATATATATTACATTTTTAAACCTAACCAGTGTCCCTTAAGTGAATTGACACAAGAGGTCAGAACATGTTAGTATTAGAGCTGAGTGGGTCTAATATTTATTTAATTTTCTTTCTTTATATACGAATTAGAAATTATTATCTGACAGGAGCACTGTACCTAAGTTATTATCTGTAAAAAAACAAGAGAGTTTTCAGGTGCCCAAGTAGCCTCTGGAATCATGATTAAAGTTGCCCTCCACCCCCACCCCCCAATCTGAAATGGTGCCCCTGACTAGGTATCCTTAATGAAGGCTTATTTCCGCTTCAGCAGATACTGAATAAATCTACTGGAAATCTTAATTTCATCTAGTATTCCTAAAGTCAGAGCAGTGGCTAGCTCTTTTCTTCTAACCTGGATTCTCCTATCTGAGAAATCATCCATTTAAAATACCCTGTTACTATCCTTTGTCTAAATGACCAGGACTGGGTTTTGCAATTGTTATGCAGAATCAAAATATAATGCTCAGGAGTCAGATGCTTCTAATCTCTCCAGATATGTTTCATCATACAGAAAACTACTAACCTACTGTAGGTATTCACTTTACACACAAGAAATCTTACCTCTTCAAATGTTTGTTATCGTTCCCCTGTACACATGGGGTGAGATCGTGGGATGTTTCTTATATCTTTTATGATACAGATATCCTTTTTCTGTTCATTAAAGTGAAAGCTGATTAGAGGATGTATTGGTGCATCGGGGATAATCTGAAGCAAAATGTGTCATGTATTTGATCTGCAGCTATAACTGTCTGTTGAGAGCATGGTGATTTTAATATCAGAGTTTGGAGGTATTTTTATATCTGTTTTATCTTTATTCCTGAGCACCTATGTGTTCTGTGTTTGGATGGATATTTATTTTGAATCTAGTGAGGATAATAATTTAGGACTGTCAGAGTGTTCAGCTGCCAATTTTTAAAGGAATGTTACAGTGGAAAAACCCAAAGCATTTAAACGTATTATTATAATTGTTATTCAACATTTATATTGTCACATTGAGGCCCCATAGCAAATGACAGCCTCTGGCCAAAAGCTCTTACTTTCTGGAAAACAAGACATAAAGATAGCTGAAACAAACAAGCATGCTGGGGCTGAGGAAGACAGGGTGACAAAAACAATAGGATATGTGCAGTTCTTCGCCACACAGGCGCAACAATCACAATTACCTACCTAGCTTTTATCAGATGACAAATGTGCAGATAACTTTGATTTATTAAGGTCTTGGAGGTATCTGAAATCTTTATAAAATCAGCAGGTTCGATAATCAGGAGTTTCAGCTCTGCGGGTTGGCTGAGGTGTGCAGGACTCAAACTCAACCCCTGCAGAGCCACTCAGCTGACATGTCAACTCCTTTCTCTCCTCTATAGTAAATAATTAGTTTAGTGAAGGGGTTTGCTGAACGATGTACATAGTGCTTGAAGCTCCGTGTAGGTTGGATGGAAGTGGGGATGTGATTTGTATCGGGAAGGCACAGTCTCTCTGGTTTATCAGGATGGTGAATATGAAGGGTAGAGTGGGGAATCTGGTCCAGGTAGGGGCAAATTTTCAGGTGCACAGTGGGGGCCAGATTTTCAGAACAGCTCTGGGCCCACTAAAGCATCTAAAAATAAGGACCAGATTTTCAAAGGAGCTCTGCACCCAAAGTGCTGAAATGTTTTGAAATTTTGGCTGTTTATTTTGGTGCCTTAATAGGAGCACAGCTCTTCTGAAAATTCTGGTCATAGGAGCGTAGCTAGGGAACAGTTTTAGTTTAGGGCTACGTGTGTAAAATATGTTGTGAACTTTGGGGCATCCTCTAGGTTTCCGTGGGGAGAACTGCAGTGTGAGGTAGGTAGGTATGTCTGTGTGACACACAGAACTAGAACAAGTTGTATTAACAAATGCAAAGAACAGTGCATAAGAATAAATTTGTTAGTCTCTAAGGTGCCACATATCAGAGGGGTAGCCGTGTTAGTCTGAATCTGTAAAAAGCAACAGAGGATCCTGTGGCACCTTTAAGACTAACAGAAGTATTGGAGCATAAGCTTTCGTGGGTGAATGCCCACTTCTCAGACGCGTCTTAAAGGTGCCACAGGACCCTAAGGCGCCACAAGTACTCATGTTCTTTTTAAGAATACCCTGTAACTTGCTATATATATATATTCATCACTAGGGGGAGCTCTATAGCATCTTGACCAGCACCAGAAACTGAGATTGGACAGGCCCAAGTCTGGTTCTTATGCAAAAGGTAAAATGTGAGCTATATTGGCAATAATGGGCAGGCGAACTAGAGGATAGTCTGTGGGCCAGGAAGAGTGAGTGGTGGGTTGTGTGAATGTGTAGCCCATAATAGAGATACAGTGGAGAGTAAATGGGCATGAGCAAGGCCGGCCTTAGGGGTGGGCCACCCAGCCAACTGCCCAGGGGAGCCATGGTCAAGGGGGCGCTGTGCGGCAGCGCAAAGGTGCGCACTGCTGGTATAGAGTCAAACTGCTCCCGGCTGGCAGGGGCGTGCCACATGGGGGGGGTGCCGGATTTCTCCCTGCTTCCTCCTGGTGGGAGGGGAGTAGCAGTGCTGATATACAGATACTGCTCACACACACACACATCCCAACATTCCTCTGCAACCCCCTAGGGGGCTGTAAGGAAGGGAGCGAGGAGCAACACCAAGCGCTCCATACGTCCAGGTCACTGTCCCCACCTTGGATGTGCTGT